TTCATGTTGTTATTGTACTTCTTTCGTAATACGATACATTTATATGAGGTTAGTAGTTTCGCCAAGCTGGGATAGAACATTTATAACATGTATAGGCATTTTGATGAATATTGGAAAGTTCTATACTTACTAACATCACTGACCTTCCTCGACGACCATTTTGTTTTGTTTTTTGGCATTCTTAATGGCATACTAAATCAAAGTTATGTCGAACAATATTTATTTTAGGTTGTACTAGTACTAAAATCGAAAATGAAATATTTTTCTTATTCTATTGATTTCACAAATGTTTTCTACTCTAGTTTACTGGAGATCTTACTTTAACATTCAGCTTCAATGCTTTAAATGTGCAACAACCCACATCTCCCAGGTATTGCACAATTCTGTACGTAACATCTACAACCCTCTATATAATAATTAAGACAATTTTCAGCGTATGTTATACATAATTAATAGCATGCATATATAAAAACAAAATCTTTAACCATTATTATTTACGAACAAACTCCAAATATATATTATCTATTATAATTCTGTTTATAGTTCAACAGTCCTACTGCCCAACAATCACTGCTCCTGAAAATGGAGAAATAGCAGGATTGTGTTCATCTGCGGCAACAGGAGATCAATGTACATTCTCCTGTGTAGGAGACTACCAACTAGTGGGAATTTCGGATTTGACATGTTTGGACAACGGAAGTTGGTCTGGAGAAAGTCCATCATGTGAACGTAAGTCACGTGATTCACATTCATTGTGTAGATTTAAGTAAATAAATGAACTTGTATAGTAGGTGTTTTCAATGAGTAACAAGAATGTAGTGTTCGAGCCAATTTCTATAAAGTAATAGTGAAGCAGCTTTCGAAAAACCCTTTTTGTACATTTGAACTTAGCTACACTGTAATACAGACATATCTATGCTGCCATCTTGATTTATTATCATGAACATAGATATGTCTGTATTACAGTGTAGCTATGCTGACATCTTGATTTATTATCATGAACTTAAATATGTCTGAATTACAGTGTAGCTATGCTGCCATCTTGATTTATTATCATAAACTTATATATGTCTGAATTACAGTGTAGCTATTCTGGCATCATGATTTACTATGATGAACTTAGATATGTTTGAATTACAGTGTAGCTATGCTACCATCTTGATTTATTATAATGAACCTAGATATGTTTGAATTACAGTGTAGCTATGCTACCATCTGGATTTATTATCATGAAGTTAGATATGTCTAAATTGCAGTGTAGCTACGTTGCCATCTTGATTTATTATCATAAACTTAGATATGTCTGAATTATAGTATAGCTATGCTGCCATTTTGATTTATTATCATGAACCAGTGAATGTAAAACAGTGTTATTTTAAGTATTCGTTATCAATAAACATGAATATTTTTATGATATTTCCATAATACTAAATCATTTTAAGACAATCGTTAATAAATATTGAAGATTTGATTCCAGATATCCTTCTCTATCAGTTTAGATATTAGTCTAGTCGTTGTGGTAAAGTGATTACGTAATTTATCAGGTAAACTCAGAATATGATAAAAGTCAATGGATATATGAGACAAGGTTTCTGGTTCAGTGCCAAGTGATCTGGTGGTCTCCAGTCACAGCAGACGAACAAAATCCAGATAATTCTCCATTTTCTGGGGCACTTATAGGTGGACATCCTGATTCTTTAACTAATTAGGATAGATGTATGTTTTCTTGTCTAGAAGACTACCAACTAATAGGAGACCCAGAGTTGATCTGTCTGGAGTCTGGCAGTTGGTCTGGAACAACCCCTACTTGTAACAGTAAGCATGTTTAGCTTTTATTCATGTTGTTACTGTACTTCTTTCGTAATGCGATACATTTATATAAGGTTAGTAGTTTGCCCAAGCTGGGATTGAACATCTATAACATGTATAGGAATTTTTATGAATACTTGGATAGTTCTATACTTACCAACATCAATGGCCTTTCTCAACGTCCATTTTGTGATTTTTTGGCATTCTTAATGGCATACTAAATCAAAGTTATGTCGAACAATATTTATTTTAGGTTGTACTAGTACTAAAATCGAAAATGAAATATTTTTCTTATGCTATTGATTTCACAAATGTTTTCTACTCTAGTTTACTGGAGATCTTACTATAACATTCAGCTTCAATGCTTTAAATGTGCAACAACCCACATCTCCCAGGTATTGCACAATTCTGTACGTAACATCTACAACCCTCTATATAATAATTAAGACAATTTTCAGCGTATGTTATACATAATTAATAGCATGCATATATAAAAACAAAATCTTTAACCATTATTATTTACGAACAAACTCCAAATATTTATAATCTATTATAATTCTGTTTATAGTTCAACAGTCCTACTGCCCAACAATCACTGCTCCTGAAAATGGAGAAATAGCAGGATTGTGTTCATCTGCAGTAACAGGAGATCGATGTACATTCTCCTGTGTAGGAGACTACCAACCAGTGGGAATTTCGGATTTGACATGTTTGGACAACGGAAGTTGGTCTGGAGAAAGTCCATCATGTGAACGTAAGTCACGTGTTTCACATTCATTGTGTAGATTTGAGTAAATAAACGAACTAGTATAGTAGGTGTTTTCAATGAGTAACAAGAATGTAGTGTTCGAGCCAATTTCTATAAAGTAATGGTGAAGCAGCTTTCGAAAAACCTTTTTTATACATTTGAACTTAGCTGCACTGTAATACAGACATATCTATGCTGCTATCTTGATTTATTATCATGAACTTATATATGTTTGAATTACAGTGTAGCTATGCTGCCATCTTGATTTATGGTCATGAACTTAGATATGTCTGAATTACAGTGTAGCTACGCTGCCATCTTGATTTATTATCTTGAACTTAGATATGTTTGAATTACAGTGTAGCTATGCTATCATCTTTATTTGTTTTCATGAAGTTAGATATGTCTGAATTACAGTGTAGCTATGCTGCTATCTTATCATGAACGTAGATATGTCTCAATTACAGTGTTGCTATGCTGCTATCCTTAATTATTATTATGAACGTAGATATGTTTGAATTACAGTGTAGCTATGCTGCCATCTTGATTTATTATCATGAAGTTAGATATGTCTAAATTACGTAGCTATGCTGACATCTTGATTTATTATCATGAACTTAAATATGTCTGAATTACAGTGTAGCTATGCTGACATCTTGATTTGTTATCATAAACTTATATATGTTTGAATTACAGTGTAGCTATGCTGCCATCTTGGTTTATGGTCATGAACTTAGATATGTCTGCATTACAGTGTAGATATGCTGCCATCTTGATTTATTATCATGAACATAGATATGTCTGAATTAAAGTGTAGCTATGATGCCATCTAGATTTATTATCATGAACTTAGATATGTCTGAATTACAGTGTAGCTATGCTGCTATCTTGATTTATTATCATGAACTTAGATATGTCTGAATTATAGTATAGCTATGCTGCCATCTTGATTTATTATCATGAACCAGTGAATGTAAAACAGTTATTTTAAGTATTCGTTATCAATAAACATGAATCTTTTTATGATATTTCCATAATACTAAATCATTTTAAGACAACCGTAAATAAATATTGAAGATTTGTGGTCAGATATCCTTCTCTATCAGTTTAGATATTAGTCTAGTCGTTGTGGTAAAGTGATTACGTAATTTACACCAGATCACTTGGCACTGAACCAGAAACCCTGTCTAATATATCCATTGACTTTTATCATATTCTGAGTTTACTTCTATCCTAATTAGTTAAAGAATCAGGATGTCCACCTATAAGTGCCCCAGAAAATGGAGAATTATCTGGATTTTGTTCGTCTGCTGTGACTGGAGACCGGTGTATGTTTTCTTGTCTAGAAGAATACCAACTAATAGGAGATCCAGAGTTGATCTGTCTGGAGTCTGGCAGTTGGTCTGGAACAACCCCTACTTGTAACAGTAAGCATGTGTTGTTTTTATTTATGTTGTTACTGTACTTCTTTCGTAAGACCATACATTTATATAAGGTTAGTAGTTTGTCCGTAGAATAAGAAAAATATTTCATTTTCGATTTTAGTACTAGTACAACCTAAAATAAATATTGTTCGACATAACTTTGATTTAGTATGTCATTAAGCATGCCACAAAATCACAAAATGGCCGTCGGGGCAGGCCAGTGATGTTGGTGGAATAAAATTTTCCAAGTATTCATGAAAATTCCTATACATGTTATAAATGTTCTATCCCAGCTTAATGAATGTGAATCACGTGACTTACGTTCACATGATGGACTTTCTCCAGACCAACTTCCGTTGTCCAAACATGTCAAATCCGAAACTCCCACTAGTTGGTAGTCTCCTACACAGGAGAATGTACATCGATCTCCTGTTACTGCAGATGAACACAATCCTGCTATTTCTCCATTTTCAGGAGCAGTGATTGTTGGGCAGTAGGACTGTTGAACTATAAACAGAATTATAATAGATAATAAATATTTGGAGTTTGTTCGTAAATAATAATGGTTAAAGATTTTGTTTTTATATATGCATCCAATTAATTTTTGTATAACGTACGTTGAAAATTGTCTTAATTATTATATAGAGGGTTGTAGATGTTACGTACAGAATTGTGCAATACCTGGGAGATGTGGGTTGTTGCACATTTAAAGCATTGAAGATGAATGTTAAAGTAAGATCTCCAGTAAACTAGAGTAGAAAACATTTGTGAAATCAGTGTAGATTTAAGTAAATAAATGAACTTGTATAGTAGGTATTTTCAATGAGTAACAAAAATGTAGTGTTCGAGCCAATTTCTATAAAGTAATGGTGAAGCAGCTTTCGAAAAACCCTTTTTGTACATTTGAACTTAGCTGCACTGTAATACAGACATATCTATGCTGCTATCTTGATTTATTATCATGAACTTATATATGTTTGAATTACAGTGTAGCTATGCTGCCATCTTGATTTATGGTCATGAACTTAGATATGTCTGAATTACAGTGTAGCTACGCTGCCATCTTGATTTATTATCTTGAACTTAGATATGTTTGAATTACAGTGTAGCTATGCTATCATCTTTATTTGTTTTCATGAATTTAGATATGTCTGAATTACAGGGTAGCTACGCTGCCATCTTGATATATTATCTTGAACTTAGATATGTCTCAATAAAAGTGAAGCTATGCTGACATCTAGATTTATTATCATGAACTTAGATATGTCTGAATTACAGTGTAGCTATGCTACCATCTTGATTTATTATTATGAACGTAGATATGTCTGAATTACAATGTACCTATAATGCCATCTTGATTTATTATTATGAACGTAGATATGTCTGAATTACAGTGAAGATATGCTACCATCTTGATTTTTTATCATGAAGTTAGATATGTCTCAATAACAGAGTAGCTACGTTGCCATCTTGATTTATTATTATGAACGTAGATATGTTTGAATTACAGTGTAGCTATGCTTCCATCTTGATTTATTATCATGAACCAGTGAATGTAAAACAGTGTTATTTTAAGTATTCGTTATTTATAAGCATGAATCTTTTTATGATATTTCCATAATACTAAATAATTTTAAGACAATCGTAAATAAATATTGAAGATTTGATGTCAGATATCCTTCTCTAT